AGAGGCAGAGCGGAAACCGGGAGAGCCGGCCTCTCCCGGAAGAAGCGGTGTTACTGGCAGGTGAAGCCACTTCCGGCACGGAGAACGGGCACTTCCGGCGGGCGGCGAGCGGCGTGTCCTTTAAAAGGACAAGGGCCCGCCGGGGGCGGCGCATGCGCGGTGTGCGCCCGCCGGGGCCGAGGAGTCGAGCCGGGGTCGGGTGCCGGCCAGGAATAAATTATAAAAATAAATTATAAATATAGATATAAACATAAATGGCAGCAAGTGCGGTCCCCTGCACTGCACTTTAAGTAGAGGCTGATTTTCAGGCAGTGCCTGGCCCTTCTGCCTGGCCGGGCAGGGTGTGGAGCGCGGTGGGGGTGTTGGTGATGCTCTAGAAATGGCTGGAGCGTTCTAGGAAGACAGAGCCCGTCTGTCCCCGCTCTCCGTGTGGCTCTGGTGATTCAGGCCAACGCAATGTGGCACCTAACTCTGCTCCAGGGCTCCTGGCAGGAGCAGCCCCGGCTCGCTGCGTTTGCAGCTCTTTTCCCTGCTCTTCGCACCCCGAGCGACCTTTGGGGAGCGCCCGTGTGAGGGGTGCCCGTGAGGGTGTGGCAGCGGCGGCCTTTGGGCTTTGGGGCTGGCCAGAGCCTCGGCGACAAGAGCACAGCGCAGCCCTTTCGGCGTTCCGAGCTCTGATGTGGAGACAGGAATCTGAGCCCAGCGCTCCCGTGCTGGGTTACTCATTTACACTGCTAATCCCGCGGCTGACCAGGGAACTGCCCTGTTGTCACGCCTAATGGCTTTTCCTGATGGATAGCCATTGTTTTGGTAAGGGCTTTTTTGGTCATTAAAAAGCACTTTTTGGCGCCTGAATGTAGTTCTTTTTTTAGCGGTTACTGCCTTGCATCACAAAGCCCTTTTAAAGTGCCTGTCATAGAAAATTGCAACATCCTTCCCTTTGCTGTGTTCAGGCACGTTTTACACAGATTATTTTAATCTTGTGAGTCAGCCCTGCCTGTCACTATTCCTTTGATTTTTCTGAGAATCCTGAAGTCATCTCTAGGAGCCCTTCAGGTCATGTACGATCTGCATAGAAGGCACGCATCTCTCCATCCCCCACAGCGATGCCTCAGAACGAGAGGTTTTGCAGGCTGGTGTTTTACACAGCCCCCTTTCGCTCAGGTTTCGGTCTGTCTGAGTCTCAAGCTTGTTTGTTTTCCTTTCTTTGGCAACACCCAGTGGTTAGCAAGTGCAGGATGAATGGAAGGCTGCACCTCTTTTCGGCTGGTTGCAAACAATGGCGAGTGAACTCGTGCATAGCAGTCCTGTCAGCGGTGACCTTGCTTTTATTTCTCACAGATTTAGGAGTCTCTTTCCCCTTTGGTGCATCTGCTTTCCATATAACAAGGACTCAAAGTGCAGCCAGTGGAAAAAGAGATCGGAATCTGAATCTTTGCTCCCTGTTAGAGCAGCTAGATGATGTGTGAGGAACAGCCTTTCTCCCCTCGATTTATTTTTACCGACAGCTGGAATTGTGAGCTAGGTTTGGAACGGAGTGAGGCGCTCCAAGTTGTAATTAACACCGCTCCAGAGGGAAAGTACTGGAGCTATAATTAGCTGGTAGCCAGTTGCGGAGGAAAATGCAAGCCAGAGGCCTGGATGAACGCAGCTCATGGGGTCAGAGTATGGCCCTGTGTTCGGGAAAGGGATGCAGTCCCAGCTCAGGGGTGCAGTCCCAGGTGTGGCTCAGGGGTGCAGTCCCAGGTTCAGTTCAGGGATGCAGTCCCAGGTGTGGCTCAGGGATGCAGTCCCAGGTGTGGCTCAGGGATGCAGTCCCAGCTCAGGGGTGCAGTCCCAGGTGTGGCTCAGGGATGCAGTCCCAGCTCAGGGGTGCAGTCCCAGGTTCAGTTCAGGGGTGCAGTCCCAGGTGGGGCTCAGGGATGCAGTCCCAGCTCAGGGATGCAGTCCCAGGTGTGGCTCAGGGATGCAGTCCCAGGTGTGGTACAGGGATGCAGTCCCAGGTGTGGCTCAGGGATGTAGTCCCAGCTCAGGGATGCAGTCCCAGGTGTGGCTCCCAGGTTGTCAGGCCCTGCAGCAGCCGCCCGCAGAGGGCACCAGCAGGCAGGGGAGCGCCTGTCTGAGCAGCTCCTGCTGCTTGCACACTCAAGGTGAATCCCAAACAAGCCGAGTCCCTCTCCATCAGGAAGGGAAGGCCTCATAGGAGTGTCCGGTCCGCCTGGGAGAGGGGTTTTCCACCCACCAGGTCGTCTTCTGCCGGCCAGAACCACCCAGTCACCCCCTCTCAGTCCCAATGTTTGTTTGGTTTCTCTGCCGTGTGTGTTTATGTGAACCCTGTGATGTTTTTCAGATGTGCTTGTATGCACTTCCTCTTGGATCACCAGCTCTGGCCCAGGATGTGAGCTTCCCTTTCCCCATCACATTCCTCTTTCTTTGGCAAGGTGTTCTGTGAGAGACCTTTCACTTTCCTGAAGTTTGGTACTGTGGTCTTCCATTCTTTTTTTTTTGTTTCGTTTTGCTTTGATGTTTTGTTTTTGTTTTGTTTTGTTTTTTTTTTTTTTCTTTTCTTTTCCTGATCTGGCTGAGTCCAGCAGCCAGTTCCTGGGGGGTTGCCTCAGTTTTCACTCTGCTACTTTCTCTTGGAACAAGCTGGCAGCACCTCTCCTGACATCACCTCAGACCATGCACCTCTTTTCGCAATCCTCGGGATTTGCAGCCCTGCCATTCCCTGACCTTGGCTAATCTCCTTCCTTTTGCAACACTATTAACCACCTTTCCCAGCAGAGGGCTGCAATTAGAGAGGCAAGTATAGAGTTGCATACTTCTCTAGAGGGAGAGCAGGTTTGAGCTCCTTTAATCTAATAGGAAATGTCTCCTTCCCTTTCATATGCAGCACTTTCTTGTTGTATGCAATCATCCACCAGGATTGCTCCCTTCCATTTCTTTCAGCAGTTTCCCTTTCAGCTGTAGGAAGACCTGTCCCCGGTGATCAAAGGCATCCTTCTGCAGCTACAGGAGCAGAATGAGGAAACAGGATGCTGGATAAGGGATCAGAAAACCTCCTGGCTAGATCTCTGCAATTAAGCATGTCTTGAAGCAAGAATCAGGGAAATACTCAGCTATGCTCGCTGCCTCAGTTTCCCTGGTTGTTAGCATGGGGATATAATTTGCATTTTCTTCCTCTGGGGAATTGCCTTGACCTCTGTATCCCAATTTTCCTTTCTGCATTGGTTCTGTCATTAGAGCAACTGGCTCGGCGAGACGAGAGAGAGAAGCAAATACCAGAGTTAGAGGTGAGCTGTGCAACTCCCTGTTTCCTCATGTTCAAGCCTTGCTTCCCAGCTCAAGGGGTGTCTTGATCCCTCGACTGAGCAGGCAGCAGTGCCCTTCTGGACAGTCTGGGGAGTGAAAGTGTCTCCTTACACCCCGGGGAAAGCTCAAACGGGTTTGCTGATGCTGATAGTTTCTTTCCAACGATGTCTGGTGCATTTGGGGTGTGTTCTGAGAATATGGGAATGATCTTGCTGCTGAGGAGCTGTATGTGCAGCAGGCAAAGATGAAATAAAACTGACAGGACGGAAGCCCTCATTGTAGCTGTGGCTTGGGGGCTGGTAGGTTTTGTAGCTGGAAGCTGAACAGGGAGAGGAAGACCTGCCAGGTTAGAGAGAGCTGCTTGAATTTATGGGGCTGAGGAGAGAACCGAGGGCCCTGAGCCCGCAAGGGGGAGCCTCGATGGAGTCATTCACAGCACTACTGATGAGATCAGCGCCAGACTGGAACAGATCCATGACCAATACTGTGCAACTCGGTGCGCAGGAGTCGGCAGAGGCGCTGGAAAACGTGAACAGATTCACCCATTCTTGCTTTACCCCTTGCTTGCAGCATTGCAGCTGGCGGATGGAAGGGGCACGATTAGAGAGCAGAAGTATTGTGGGGAAAAAAAGTAATTCAAGAGCCTGGATTTTGCTGAGATACAGTCTGGCTCCAAAGAACAGCAGGAGGGAGAAGGAGAAAAACCCTGTTGCAAAGGCATTTTTCACGGGCACCCAAGCGTGACCTGAGCAGAAATCAGCAACATGAAGCTAGGCGTCCTGAAGCAAACGGGGGAGCCCAGCTGCAGCAAATCCCCAAGCCTGGATGATGAACACATCCCCGCATTGCGGCGACAGCCAAGTGCGACTTAGTGAAGTGTTTGCTGGGGATGTTTAATGGAGCGGCCGCCCGGGGAGCTCGGTGATGCAGTCGTGTGCAGCCTCTCTTTCCCAGCACGGCTCAGGGAGGAGGCATTCCCTCTGCAGAGTGCCCCAGTGCCGAATGCACGTGTACTCGGCTCTGCAGCTGCCTCAAGTGTGGCATGATGAGCTTGAATAAATGGGTTTTGGCCCAGGCTTGAAAATCCCCCATTGCCAGCAATCCCGTTTTGGCTGCAGCTGCCTCAGGTTCCCTAGGAAACTCCAGTGCTGGCTTAAGCCCGGGCTGTGAAACAGCAGGAGGAGG